CATCCATGTTATGGAGTGTTTTGCAGATTCTACATTATTCTTTAGTGTTGCATAATATCCCATTTTGTGTATGTACCATAGTTCGCTTATCTATTCTCTGTTGAAGGGCAGTTAGGTTGTTTCCATCTTCTTGCTATTGTGAATAGTGCTGCAATGAACACGGGAGCACATATATCCGTTTTTTTTCCTGGCTCTCACTGCTTTAGGATATATACCTACTAATGGAATTGTGTCTGGTAGCGTAGTGCTTAAGGCATTTGACTGCTAACCAGAAAGCTGGCAGTTCAAATCCACCAGCCACTCCTCAGAAGGAAGATGAGGCAATCTACTTCTGTAGTGATACTGACTTGGAAACCCAAGGAGAGGTTGCTATGAGTCGGGTCTGATTTGACAGCATATAACAACAACAACAACAACAATGGAATTGCTGGATCAGATGGTATTTCTAATTCCAACATTTTAAGGAATTGCCATATTGCTTTCCACAGTGTTTGGATCGTTTTACAGCAGTGTTTGAGAGTCCCAATATCTCCATACATTTGTCAGTATTTGCTATTTTCTGTCGGACTTTGCTATTAGTGCTGGGCAAGATGGTATCAAATTGTTGTTATGATTTGCATCTCTTTAGGAGGGGTCTCTATGAGTCGGGCCCGACTTGACAGCACATAACAACAACAAAGGCTAATGATCATGAAAATTTCTTCATGTGTTTGTTGGCCGCCTGAATATCCTCTTTGGTCAAGTATCTATTCATGTCTTCTGCCCAGTTTTTAGTTGGGTGGTTGTTGTTGAGGTGTTGAAGTTTTCTATAAATTTTAGAGATAAGTCCCTTGTTAGAGATGTCATTGCCAAATATTTTTTCCCTATCTATATATTCTCTTTTTACTTTTTGGAGAAGTCTTTTGAAGCACATAAAAATTTAATTTTCAGAAGGTCCCATCCATCTAGTTTATCTTCTGCTGTCCATGTATTTTGGGTTATGCTTCACAGTCTATTTGAGCCATACATGAGGGTCCCTAAATTTTTCCTTTTTCCTTGAGGATTTTATAGTTTCAGGTTTTACATTTAAGTCTTTAATCCATCTGGAATTAGTTATCGTGTATGGTGTGAGGTATGGACCTTGTTTCATTTTTCTGCAAATGGATATCCAGTTTTGCCATCAGCATTTGTTAAAGAAGCCATCTCTTCCCCATTTAATGGATTTCAGCCCTTTGTCAAAAATCAGTTGACAGTTGACCATAGGTTGATGGATCTATTTCTGGGTTTTCAATTCTACTCCACTGGTGTCTCTGTGTCTGTTGTTGTACTAATACCAGGTTTTTTTTTTTTTTTTTTTTTTACTACTGTGGCTGTATAGAAGGTTTTGAGATCTGGGAGGGTGAAACTTCCTCCTTTGCTATTCTTCTTCAATAGTATTCTGCTTATCTGAGGTCTCTTTCCTTTCCATATAAAATTAGTGATTGGTTTTTCCCTACCCTTAAAGAATGTAGATAGGACCTGGATTGGGATTGCATTGAATGTATATAATGCTTTGGGTAGAATTGACATTTTCACAATTTTCAATCTTCCTATCCATGAACATGGTGTGTTCTTCCATTTATGCAGATCTCTTATGGTTTCCTGAAGTAGTATTTTGTAGTTTTCTTTGTACAGGTCTTTTGGTCTCTGGTAAGATTTATTCCCAACTATTTTATTTTTTTGGTAGCCATAATAAAGAGCTCTGGTAGCATAGTGGCTAAGACACTTGCCTGCTAACCAGACAGCTGGTGGTTCAAACCCACCAGCCACTCCTCGGAAGGAAGGTTGGGCAATCCTATTTCCGTAGTGATACTGCCTCGGAAACCCAAGGAGGGGTCGCTATGAGTCGGGGCCGACTCGATGGCACATAACAACAACAACAACATTGTAAATGGTATTGATTTCCTTATTTCCTGTTTTCAGCAATCTCTTTGGTAGTGTAGAGGAATCCAACTAATTTTCCTATGTTGATCTTGTATCCCACCACTATGCCAAATCTCTCAATTCTTTCCAGTAGTTTTTTTGCTGAATCTCTTGGATTTTCTATGTATAGGATCACATCATCATCAAATAGGAATAGTTTTCCATCTTCCGTACCAATCTGGATTGCCTTTGATTTCCATTTCTTGCATTATTGTCATACTTAGGGCTTCTAATACAATGGTGAATAGAGGTAATCCTTGTCTGGTTCCTGAGGAATGGTGTCAGTCTCTCTCCCCTGAGAATAATGTTGGCTCTTGATTTTGTATATATTCCCTTTATTATGTTGAAGAATTTCCCTTTTATTCCTATTTTGCTGAGAGTTTTAATCATGAGTGGATGTTGTATTTTATCAAATGCTTTTCCTGCATCAATTGATATGATCATGTGGTTCTTTTCCTTTTTTTTTATTTATGTGACAAATGATGTTAATTATTTTTCTAATGTTGAACCATCCTACACATCTGGTACGAACCTCAGTTGGTTATAGTGTATTATTCTTTTGATATGTTGGAGTCTTGGCTAGGATTTTGTTGAAGAATTTTGCATCTTTATTCATGAGGCATATTGGTCTGTAGTCTTCATTTTAGTGATGTCTTTGCCTGGTTTTGGTATCAAGGTTATGCTTGCATCATAAAATGAATTTAGGAGGATTGTATCCTTCTTTATGTTCTGTGATACTTTGAGTATTATTGGTGTCCATTCTTCATCAAACATTTGGTAGAATTCTCCATGAAAGCATCTGGGTCAGGATTTTTTTTGTTGGTAATTTTTTTATGACCTGTTCAATTTCTTCTTTCATTAACAACCAACCACCACCACCAACAACAAAAATGCCAAATTCACTGTTGTTGAGTCAATTCCAACTCATAGCAACTCCTCCTTGGGTTTCCGAGGCAGCATCTCTATAGAAGTAGAT